ATCACAAGAATTTGTAGAAATCGACTAATAAATGAACAAATGACTGTGTCGACAAGTGTGGTTTTCCTCAGTTAAATCCCTCCTTGCTTGAGGTTCTCTCAACTCTCTATCTCTGATGGGGAGAAAATAGAGGGCGACTGAAATGATTTAACCTTTTGGGAACCATAACCTAGGAGTCTTTATATTTTGACCTAATAGGATCCCATTAAGCCTATATGGGTCAAATGTGGTATCCACCCATTAAACCCCATACCTACTTATTAAAGTCTATGGGCTTTACATAACTGAATCACTTAATTAATCCCACTTATAAAATAGCCCATCAATGCAATTGTTTCATTGAATATGTAAGCCCACATAATAGAGATTAAAACCCAACAATCTCCCACTTGGGCTACATATGAAATCTGAAACAATTATATTGAACAAATTCCTTATGTGTACACCTTTTATGCTATTTTCTTTAGACTTCTCCTTAGTTTCAATCTGGTCCATTTCCTGTATTAATATGAGATCATGACGGCTTTTGTCACATACAAGCATGACCAAACCTTTCATGCTCACCATATCAACACATTCAACGACATAGATCAAGTATGGATGAGTGGCATGGAAATTACATGCAATGTGATATCAAAACATGCCTATTTCCAACTAGTTCTACTTTATTCTTTAAAGGGATCATTCAAAAAAATCACAAACATATTGAGAGATGTAGATGGTGAAAAGAATCATAAAACTTTATTATGCATAAATGTAGACATGCCTATACCCATACGAGCAGTGTGCTCATGAAAAACCTTAGGTGGCAATCCCTTGGTCAACGGATCCGCTATCATGGAGTTTGTCCCTATATGTTCTATACAAATTTGACCATTCTGAACTCTCTCCTTAACAGATAGAAACTTGATGTCAATATGTTTTGACTTCACAAAACTTCTGTTGTTGTTGGAATACAGAATTACAAATTTATTGTCACATAATAATTTTAATGGCTTTTCAATGCCATTAACTATACGCAGCCCAGTGACAAAGTTACGCAGTCATATCCCATGATTGGATGCCTCAAAACATGTTATGAACTCTGCAGCCATGGTCAAAGAAGCTATGAGCATCAATTTGGCACTTTTCCAAGATATAGCTCCTCCAACTAACATGAAAACATAGCCCGAAATGGATCGTTTGCTGTCTTGGCATCCCGCAAAATTAGAATCAGAATACCCAATGATCTCCAAACTGTCTGATTTCCTATAGATTAACATGAAGTTCTTTGTTCTCTGTAAATACTGCATGACCCGTTTGGCTGCTTTCCAATGATCCAGTCCTGGGTTACTCAAATATCTGTCCAACACTTCCACTATAAATGCTATATTGAGACAAGTACAAACTTGAGCATACATCAGACTTCCTATTGCTGAGGCATAGGGAACCTTTTGCATCTCCTTTATTTCAATGTCTATTTTGGGGCACTGATTGAGGCTGGACTTGTCTCCTTTAGCCATAGGCATATCACCCGACGAACAACTTTTCATGCCGAATCTGCTTAGCACCTTTTCGATATAGCCCTTTTGTGACAATCCAAGAATACCTCGAGAGCGATCTCATAGTATTTGTATGCCCTTTTGTAACAATTCTCCAGTGACTCACCGGTGCTCTGCATCACAAGAATTTGTAGAAATCGACTAATACAATGAACAAACAAAGATCAAGAGACTTTGTTGCACCCAAGATACATCATGCTGTAGTTATCAAGGAAATTCTGATATAAATACCTATATCCATCGCAGCAGTCGAACCTTTGCAGAATAAATGAACAAATGACTGTGTCGACAGGTGTGGTTTTCCTCAGTTAAATCCCTCCTTGCTTGAGGTTCTCTCAACTTTCTATCTCTGATGGGGAGAAAATAGAGGGCAACTGAAATGATTTAACCTATTGGGAACCATAACCTAGGAGTCTTTATATTTTGACCTAATAGGATCCCATTAAGCCTATATGGGTCAAATGTGGTATCCACCCATTAAACCCCATACCTACTTATTAAAATCTATGGGCTTTACATAACTGAATCACTTAATTAAGCCCACTTATAAAATAGCCCATCAATGCAATTGTTTCATTGAATATGTAAGCCCACAAAATAGAGATTAAAACCCAATAGAATTGTCTTAGAATCGCAGCAGCTCGATGGATTCCTTTCTCCAGGAATCGGTCGTCTCATGAGACTCAGAGAACTCTCTCTCCCTGACAATCACCTCGTTGACAAAATTCCTCGACAAATCATCGACTGCTGGAAATTGCAAATCCTAAACCTGTGAAACAACCACTTTTCTGGCAGAATTCCATCAGAATTCTCCTCGATTGTAAGCCTCTGATCCCTTGATCTATCTTCAAATAGCTTTTCGGGCGATCTGTCCAACGGTGAAAGCAGTGGCTGTTGCTCCGTTGAGATCCAGTTTTTATGCGAAAAGCAACAGCAGTAAATTTGTTTACACCCTATACAACCAAACAAGGTCGGTGTAAGTTTTCAAAATCAACGGGTTTTGAAATTTTTCTGTCGTATAAAATTTTTCTAAATCGGTTCAATTTTTCTATCGTATAAAATTTGAATTTATACCTTAAACAAATGCAGCCTAAGGAATTATAATGAAGCCTAAAGAACAAAATCCAGTTGCCTGGGAAAAAGAACGAGCAGAAGTTGAAATCTTATCTTATCGGATATTGATTCAACGCACGTTTTGAGACACCAGAGTCGCCAGTTTCAATCTCGGTGACAACTTCTATGCCATTGTCCAGTCCTCTTTAATTGCTTGAAGAATCAAAAGCTCATTCTTTATTCACTTATTATTCATCTTCATGTGGCTATTCATCAATCAGAACTTCAGAAAAACCAAAAATACCGTCAAACACATTAGTTAAGTACACATAACTTAGAGTTAGTTAATTACAGTTAACTAACTGTAACATTTTCCCTTTATGAAAACCCAGGAGATGTTTAAGTATTTTCCCCTTTTAAAATAGCAACAAATTTTAGACTACAAATGCTGCACGATTTACCAAAAAATTGATATTGAATCACATGATGAAAACATATCAGAATAGCATTTTTGTATATTTAAGTCCATCTTATAAACTCAAGTACATTTTAATTAATTTATGAAAACCCAGGGAATGTTTAATTATTTCCACCTTTTTAAAATAGCAGCAAATTTTGGAGTACAGATGTACGATTTACCAAAAAAACATGATATTAACTTTGTCTAATAGCATTTTTTTACATGATATTTCTAGACTTTTATTATGATGATAATTATATAACCATATCAATTATATGGTGCCCTCAAAACATTTTTAAGAACCAATTTGTCCTTTCTGGCACATTGTTTATAGACACTTCAAATAAATTACTCCTCTACACAAAACATTCAATTCACATAAAATAACATTAAAATCAAATAGATTGAAGATGATGGAATTGTTTTAGTTTTTGGTGGTCATACATTAAAAGGGTATGTAGTTTACTTAATTTATCTTTCATTAGATTATAGTGGGAATGATAAATTTGATTCTAATGTTTATTTGAATAAATTTAATCAAAAGAAAATAAAATAAAATTACCATTTTTGTCCTTAGTAAAACACGATTAGCCACTCTATTTGGCTCTTAGTTAATTTTGTTTTCTGTGGGAAGGAGTATTAGGGGTACTTTTGGAATAAACAATCATGAGCTCATGCCCTTGAATAATTTCCACTCAGCTTAGGTGATAATGTTACTATTTTCAGAAAGCTAAACAAGCACTTCTTACTCAAAGGTCAATTAAATAAATAAGTTGCAAACTATAGGGAGTGTTTTAATAAAATAAAAACATAGTTTTAAGTAAATCCATGGAACTATAGAGGGTGTTAACAATTAGTATTTAAGAACAAGGATTTAGAATATATATATAAATTAATAAGAATACTTACCATATTGCACAATTGCTGTTACCAATGTTTCCTTTTGATCAATTATTAGTGTAAGTGCATGTACTATGAGTGCGTTCAAATATGAATTATATATGATATATAATATATTTTTTTTGTTTTTCATAGATATATATAGGGTGTTTGGAACCGTGGGTATTTATTCAATGAACGTTGTCACATAGGCACCACCACTTCAGCAGTTTCCATCTCATATTCTTCTGTATGCATCGAGAATAGCAAAAGGTGACTTCGATTTCTATGCAAGCGTACCATTTGAAAAAGTTATTTTTTAAATCTTCACCCAGTGGTTAGGCGTTTTCACTGTTATACTGTGTGGTGCCTAGTTGTCATAAACAGTTGTAATTATTGGAACGGGATCTACTCCTCACACTTGAGCACCTCACATGCACATCCACCGTGCATTGGGAACATCTCCCGTGAAAAATAACTTACAAGTATGAGAGATGTTCCCAATGCATAGTAGGATGTGCGTGTGAGGTGCCCTATGTGAGGAGCAGATTCAGTCCCATTATTATTAGCTTTTTCGGTTTTGCAAGCAAATAAAGTATAAGCATTGAATGAAAAAACATAAACGGAACCAAACACATACATATTATTTGGATTTAACTTTAATGAATCAAGACAAATATCTGCCATATATACTAATGTAAGGGTGTGTGTGCAAGTATAGTGTAAAGAACTAAGCCAACATTATATAATTAAATTTAACTTTTACATGCATGTAGACCTGTTCACGGGCCAGGCCAGATTGGGCTTTGTTTCTTCAGAAATAGAAAATATTGACTCAAGCTTGAGACCGATCTGACCATTGGGCCTAAATCTTGAACTTGAACCCAGCCCTAAAGCCGAAAGCTAGACTTGGACAAATGTTTTAGAATATTATATAACACATTTTTCGATACTAATATTATTATTGCATAATATTATAATATACTTTTTATTATGTATATCAAATTCGCATCAGGATTATTTGGTAAAACTCAAACCTGACCCGAAAAAAAATCGGGCCCAGCATTTAGAGCCCAAATCCGGGCCATATGGGCGAAAAAGCTTATCCATGCCCGACCTAAAACAGGCCGAACTGGGCCAGCCGATCGGACTACATGGGCCTGGAGCCCCAAGTAAAATAGTTGTAATTCACCTTTTTTAGGCAGAAGAACATCCTTTTTTTAAGGTTTAAATGTTTCATAACCACCCAGGCAAAAATCATGTTCGCTCAACAAATTGTGGTTATTCACGTAAGTTCTCCCACCTACCAAAACCAAAGAAGATATCATGAGATTCTGAGGGGTAGTGAAGTAGGTGGGAACTTGGATGCTGCAGATTTAATCTCCACAAAGCATGCGTTAGGTTCAGGCGATCTAACGGCCAAACAAAAATGTAGGCAGAACCACACAATCGCGGCCTCTTGCGGTAAGGAACTTAGTAGGAAGCCCACTCTGTCACGGAGCGATCAGCATTTCCACATTCCACAATATCCACGTGTACCTTTGTCTTCTTCACATGTCCTCGGAGAAGTGGGTCCATTAAACAAGTGGTAACACTGTCACGGTATAACCGTAGAACAGATTTCTTTAATTTTGATGGGATCAATATCCCCAAACCCCAATTTCGTAATAAAGGAAACTATTGTTCTATTCACACATAAACTCTCTACCTCCGTTTGTGGCTCCTCCTACAGAACAGAAAACATTCGGTGTGGTCAGAACTCAGAACTCAGAATGGAAATATTATATAAAATAGTGGGTATCACTAATCACGATCACGGCTGGCTGCTGGCATTCACAACGTCGGAGTTCAAGGGTGGAGCCCACTAGCTAGAAGCTCAGGTAAAGATTCTAAAATTTTTTCTGTTTTTTCCGCTCAATCAATATCAACACCGTCGCCGTCTTCTTTTCTTTGGTTACGCTTTTGGATAGAAGGGGAGTTCAATTTGAGAACAGAGGACCATTTTTCCATTTAGGAAGCCGGAATCCACCGTCGACGGGCCCAAATTTGGATAACCACTAGCTCTCCGCACACAGTCTTTCATCCATCCTTTTGCCTTATCCTGGTGACCCAGAAGATGCCCCTGCTATGTCTTTATCAGCTTCGAATCATAACAGCATTACTATAGCTTCAAAATACTCTCTCTCTCTCTCTCTCTCTCTCTCTCCACTACACATAAAAAAAAGATCAAGAAGAATCATTAAAAAGGAAACAAATACAGATACAACCTTCCTTTTTCAGTTGGCTACTTGGATTCTCTTCCCCTGCTTCTAATTTGAATTTTAACATACATGGATTCTAGCCGTCAAAAATATTTATTATAAGATCCTTCCTTCACCCTTGCAGAACCCAAATTAATCCGTAACACGGAGGAAAGGAAGAGAAAGTATATGTACCGATTGAGACACAGTAGGTTAGAAAAGGTTCTCCTCTGCAGTCCCCAGTGGCCTAGATATCCAGTTCAAGAGAAATGGTTTTGCTTCTTCTGATTTCTTTTGTGAATCTCCCCACCTGGCATTGTGACCAAGTTCCGATTGAATTAGCCTAAATTGGGTGGTGCTTCCTTTGACGGCTCGTTGGGGTTTCAAGAAGAAAGCCTGACTACATCACCATCAGATAACATAATTACAGCCTTTCAATCACAAATCCTCCATTCTTGTTACTTTGGATTGGTATGAAATTAGTTAGGTTTAAGGGTTTAAGGGTTTTGAATTCCATTCTCTAATCGTCTTCGATCGATCGGCTTTTTGTGCGGCACTGCTGAACCCGACTAGCTCTATTATTTCAAGGATGAGACCTCAATACCACCCACATCGTCTCCTCCTACACGTGGAATCCCGGGCACCACTGATCAATGGAAGCAGATCGTCGCATGGGTCTTACTCTTACACCAGTGAAGCAAACTTCGACACCAACATGGTGATCATCCTAGCGGCCTTGCTATGCACACTAATATTCGCTCTCGGATTGAACTCCATACTACGTTGTGCACTAAGATGTGGCCGCCGATTAGCCTTCGAGACACCGGACGAGACAGCTGCACGTTTAGCTGCAACTGGGCTTAAGAAGAAAGCATTGCGCCAGATTCCGGTAGCGGTGTATGGATCGGGATCGGGGAAGAGTATTCAGGCCACCGAGTGCCCAATTTGTCTGGGAGACTTTGTGGACGGAGATAAGATACGTGTCTTGCCTGAATGCAGCCATGGGTTCCACGTCAAGTGCATAGACACATGGCTGGTGTCACACTCGTCCTGCCCTACTTGCCGGCATTCATTGCTGGACCGCCCAACAACATCTGATGCTCAAGATGCCGATGAACGAGTTAGGCCGCCGGAAGGCGGGTCCGGCCGACAGGGTGGCCTCATAGTAGTCGTAGGCTTGTAGCGCAGCCGAGTTGATGGTGTTGATCGGACTTATATATCCCAATACTATATTTGGTACAGGTTTTTATATTATTTTTTTAGTTGTTTTGGTTTTTAATTTAATTGAAAGCTAGCTTTATGTAAAGAATGTAAAAACAAAGAGCAACACGGCTTTGTAGTATTAATCACTGTAGTATTTGCCACTTGTCCAAAGCTTAAAAGCTTAATAGTGAAAACAAAACAAAATGAAGGATTTTTACCTATGGAGGTGGGGTTATGTAATTGATGGGCTGAATTTGATTAATTTGTACATTTACCTGTATATATCTATTAATAAACCATCGCCATGTCTCATGTTTGTACCCTAAAACAAGAAAAAAAAAAGGAAATTATGCATATATTAGGGTTGTTTAAGGTTAAAATCTTTTCTAAATGGTAAATACACGCAGAAGTTGTGTGGTTTGAATATTATTTTGGTGCCATAATATGCATTAATTGGAAAATCATCAGGTACTCGGGTGACTTGCTGGGTCGATTAAAAATTGGCAATCTGGTCAAGACGAAGTTCACTTTATATCAAGAAGATAAGTTTGGTTTACCAATTTCCAGGTACATATAACGTTTTTTTTTTTTTTCTTTTATGGGATAGTTTTTTGAGAGTTCAGGGAATGTTTCTTGTACTCTCCTGTATTTTTTTTAATAAAATTTTAAAATTTGGGGCTTAAAAAAAGTTTGAGCCAGAATGGTATTAACTAACAAGGATCATCAATAATGAATAGAATATAATTAGCCAACTGAGGGTCAATTCTCGCAACCACCAACTTTTTCATTCACTCAGTGTGGTGCTGCAGTAATCAAATGGGGGGATCGGTTCACCAAAATACCCGAAAAAAATGTACCATAAGTCCATAATTGCAAGATTTAGTATACTAGGCTAAAATACGAGCAGCAAGCCTCGTTAGGTTTTAAATTCTCAACTCAATGTGGTGCTTCTCCTTTCAAATCCTTCACTGGCCCCATTCTCCTTTCAAATCCTTCACTGGCCCGATCTGACCCAATGATATCATGCCAACTCAAAGAATAGTTAGTCGGTAAAGAAACAACTGCTAATACCAGAAAATTATGATTACCAGAAGAGAAGAAGGGCTTTGACCACTCAAAACTCCCCTCTGAATTTTTATAAATACCACTTTCACTTAAATGAGTTGGCATGACGTGGAAGAGGATCCTCTCCGCACATGCCAGTTGAGGTAAGGGCATCAATGAACCAGTTTTTGGTTAGTACTCCTTCCTAGCAGAGAGCTCAAATGCTAAACTGAATAAGTCGCTTGGTCGAGCTGTAAAAGAAAAGTGATTAGTGTCTGGGCTGCTTTTCTCAGGGTGGGCACTCCGATGCTTAAATCAACGAATTGGAGTTTGATAGTAAAAAAGCTAGAGAGCTAGAGTGTGTGCGAGCTAAACCGCACGTACTTCTTCTATGAAAGGGGATTCCTTTATATAGGCAAGCTGCTGTGAAGCTCACGAAGGTTGCGAGATCACCGGCCCATCTGATTTGAAGGTGGTTTTATGCCCAAAGGCGAACTCCGCATAAGCTGATAATGCTTATCCAAATGCATCCAAAGCAGGTGCGGCGGGGATCTACTCTGTTGTAGTGGCATCATGATCCCGGGGGAGTCGGAGATGATAACCCGCTTAAGGAGGAGGTCACCCAGCACATCTGGCAGATCGCTAAGCAAATTCAAGTCAGGTCGGCAGAAGCACGTTGCCACTTACGCCGACCGGATGTCTTGCGAGGCCATTCGCAGCTCGACTTGCTGAGATCGTCAAGACGGGTACAAGGTGTCCAAATCCCTCCCGAGCTCTATTTACGTGGTGTTGAGATGTTGCTTGGTTGTTATTAGATGCCATGTGTCATCACGTGACTGGAGGGCCAAATCGCCCCTCATCAATTGCCCCCCACTCCCGAGTCAAGGTCAGTTCGACAAAGGGTATGGCTCATCCCAAAGCCTTTGGCCTAGAGTGACGGGTCTGGTCGGTTCTCTGTATGCTCGGTCTAATTCGTCCACCCGGCCTAGAGAGTGAGTTGTCATGCGTATCAAGTTCAAATTTTAAATTGGACGCACAAGTTCAAATTTCAAATTTCGCCACCAAGTGCTGAGGTGGCTGAATTGGGCGCGCAAATTCGAATTTCAAATTCGCCACCTAGCGCTGAATGGGCGCACTCTCTTTCTGGGTCATTGGATGGGATGCAATTCCGCCATCGATCTCAAAGCACTTTCACTATAAATAGGGGGCGAAGAGGGAGTATCCCCAGGTCGCTTGAGACGAGGTAGGGACCTGGGCTCAAGAGCAACGAGGGTCCCATAGAGGGGCCTCGACCTCTCAACAACCTAAGACCAGGTTGGAGTTCGAACCTACCGAACTGAGCGAGGAGGAGTTGATTGCCTTGGCGTCGACCTTCCAGATCCTCAATTCCTATGGCATCATCCTGTCCGGAGAGGATCAACATCATTGGAACCATGGGCAGACTAAGGTATGCATCTTCAAAGAGGCGCTTATCACCAGGCTCTATTTCCCACTGCACCCTTTTATCTACAAGGTGCTTTCACACTACAGCATCTCCTTAAGGCAGCTCCACCTGAACTCAATTAGGACATTGGTAGGGATGATATTTGTATGTTTTCACCTTAGTTTCAAGCTCAACTTCAATATCTTCCACAGCCTCTACCAAATAAAGAAAATGCACCGGGAGCCTTACTATTTTTACCTGAGCTATCGACCTAGTTACAAGCTTTTGAGCAACTTCCCTTCCAAAGTGGCGAACTGAAAGTCGAGGTACTTCTTCCTATCTTGGGAAGATAGCTAACCCATGGATACCACTTGGAGGAGTGAGGCGAGGAGAGTCCCTAACATTGAGTTCAACGATGATCTAGTGGACCAAGTTTTATTCCTCGTAGAGCGGCACTCCTTGGCTGACGAGTTCATGGCCGAACCGATGCTTGTTGGGGCCGGACTAAGTCCTATGAGTGGGTCACCCGCACGGTGCCTTATTATGCTAATATCTTTAGATTTTCTGACCTAACCAGATCGCTTTCTTTTTCGATAGATATGTTGAACACAACATCTATTTTGTCTACAATGAGAAGGGCTCCCAGGAAAAAGAGGAGGGTGGTCGAGTCTACTCATGCTTTGGAGACGGAGGAAGAATTTACAGAGAGGTCTCCATCTAGGGAGCCCGATGTGGTGGACATCGACAATGATCACAATGGTCTAACATCCGTTGACCCTGTAGTCATGCCTAACCAATTCGCTCTGCCTCCAACTTACACGTTCCCTGTCGTCGCCTATGAGGGGTCCAGTTCGTGCGGCCAAGTTTACCTCTTGAACTGGGATGTCACCACCACAAATAGGATCCGAGACCCTCGCATCACCTTTAAGGTGAGCACCAACATACTTCTTCCTAAGGACAAAAGGGAATTCAGCCAGCGAAGTGTCGCCGACCTACACAGCTCAATATTCAGGGACACACTATCGGTAAATACTTGTCCTTTTAACACTTGGTCTTCGTATATGTGCACTTTGTAAACTCTTTCTTCTTTGTAGGTGAGTTGTATGACCCGAGCTCTGAACGACTACGCCATCACCATGGAGCATAATACCACGCAGATGACGGCCGTGATCGAATCCCTTCAGACGTAGCTGGAAACTACTAAACTGGAAGCCCAAGAAGATCGTCATTGGTTCCTTGATGCGTTGTCAAGCTTGACTTGCCAACTGGAGGAGGTGAAGAGCAACATCACCAAGCAAGCTCAAGAACTTGAAAAAAGGGCAGATGAAGTATGCTGAGGACATCTTGCGAGCGAAGCAGCTCGGCACCGAGGTGTTCAAAAATCTCCCGAGTTCGAGCACGCAAAGATGGAAGTTGTCGTACCTTATCTTAAGATGGGGCAATAGAACTTTTTCTGTCACTCAGTGTGGTGTTGCACTCTCCGTCTCAATTCTCAACTATGGAGGGAAGAGAAACCAAGGGGGTTTCTGGTGCGAGAGAGAAATGATTACCCGCTTCAAGAAGAACAAGAAGAAGAGAGGGCATGTCAATGCCGGGCATGGCCGAATTGGGAAGCACCGGAAGCACACAGGAGGTCGTGGTAATGTCGGAGGCATGCATCACCATCGGATCCTCTTCAACAAATACCATCCTGGTTACTTTGGTATGGTGGGTATGCGTTACTTCATAAACTTTGCACCAAGTTCTATTGCCCCATCGTTAACATCGATAAGCTTTGGTCTATGATCCCTCAAGATGTCAAGGAGAAGGCCTCCATCGATAACGTTCCCCTCATCGATGTTACCTAGTTCGGTTACTTTAAGGTGTTGGGCAAGGGTGTCCTACCTCCATCTCAGCCCGTCATCGTGAAGACCAAGCTCATATCCAAGCTTGCGGAGAAGAAGATTAAGGAGGGCAATGGTGCTATCGTGCTCACCACTTAGATTTACTGATGTATGGTGACTGAAACCGCTATTCTTTTCTCCTTTTATTAGGTTTTAAATTTCGGATATTGAAATTTAAGGCTCCGTTCATTTTTCAATAATTTCCTGGAAAATACTTACCTGGGTAAGTGCATTTACCCATATTCTTTTATTTCTTATGTAAATAAGGCAATGACCATTTTAGGCATAAAAATTCATTATTGAAAGGGACATTTTGTCCCATTCAAGTGTCGGCAATTTTCCCCCTAGGTGGGAAAGTTATTTACCCACCTAGGAGATGAGTATCATTTACCCGGGTAAGTGATACCTAGAAAAATAAACTTTCCCTGGTCCCCACATAAATATGAAAAAAGAACATGGGATTCTTGGTCAATGGGAACCAAAATCCCATTGACCAACTTCCCCTATCTCAAAATTCGAAAAAAGAATGCCCCCTAAGTGAAATGCTATCAGAGTATCAATTAAGTACTTGGTTTCTCCATTAGACTAATGATCTATACATGAGAACTTTCTCAAAAAAAAAAAGAGTTCTCAAAGTCGCCAATAAGGGTCACAGAAGCTCTGACAATGGGAATTTTGCAAGGTTATCATTCTGAAGCAAAGATGATAATGGAGCACAGTCCACTTCTAGTTTCTCCAACCGGGTTATGGACAACCTTTTCACTACGGCTAGGTCGTGTTTTGCTTCTCTGTTGTTGTTGGTAGCTTTGCAAGGAGCTCGGTCTTGGCTTTCTTCTCTGATTGTCAATTTTTGGGAGGTTCGCCTCCAAACATACAGGAGTGTTTCCCATCTTAGATATGATTCCACTGACCACCTCCCTCCTAAGATGGGTTAGTGTGGTTTTGCAGCGATAAGTGCAAAAAGCTCATAGGTGATTGCATCCAATTGTTTGTGAGCACGACTGTTGCTGTTTATCTCAACAAGACAATGGAGATCAACACCTATGATGATCTTCTCCATATGACCAACCCCAAGCACGAAACGAAAGTGAGGGACATATTGGTCTATATCTGTAATGGGGCTCAGTTTGGCCACTTGCCCTAAAATATATATAATGTCCGTTTTTCGGCAGCTGTTATTTATCAGCGTAATTTGTTCTTTCATCAGTTATTTAAGTACGCATTTTATAAAAGGATAAAATGGGGTATTTAGAAAGGATATATGCATCTATTAAACGTTTTCCATTAAGGCCAATGACGAAAGGGAGGCTTTTGTTGAATCTTTTAAAAGTTCAAGGAAAGTTTTTGCTAGGGCCAATGACGAAAGGTTTTTGTGATTGTGAAAAACTAAATGTGGGAGATTTTTGTATTTTACCCTTAAATTTATTCTTTTTCGAGTTTGTTTAAATTCAAACCCAATATGAAGCCCATAAGAGTTAAGCCCGTTTTGGACAGCTTGTGCATTGAGGTGAGTTGCATGTCTGGTCGTTGAGCGCTCATGTTTGAATAAATTACTTGGAATTGTTTCAGTTTTACAATCATGTATCTTGTGTTTGGAACGTTAATATTGGTTTTCTCGATTTTCATCAAATACAACTTTTATAAATTCTGTGTGGAATCCAACTTGAAACGGAGGAAACCGTGTCCCCAAAAACGGGCCACAACCTACAATAGGTGGGTCCGGCCGATCATATGGCCAGGCCGACGGCACATCCTTAGGCTAAAAGTGTAACATCATGGCCTTCGATATAGGGGTGCAACTTGGACGGGTTCAGCCTGAGCCTAAATCGGCCCAACCTGAAATTTTATATGGGTTGGGTTTGGATTTTCGGTCCTCGGGTTGGGTTCAGGCCCAAGAAGTCGAGCTTTCTTATTTTTTGGGTCAGGCTCGGGCCTAACCCTTAGGTAACCCGAACTCAGCCCGAGTGTGGCCCAATTATATACATTTATATACACACACATATCGAATTATATATATATATATATATATATATATATATATAATTTTAGAGTGGATTCATTGACCAATTCGAGCCCGTCCCGGGCCTGGGCCCGAGCCCAACCCAAATGCATCAAACTATAGGGCAGGTTGGCTCTAATTGGAAAAAATGGGCTTGACCTCAGGCTCAGGCCTTGCCCAAATTTTAGGGCCAGGCCTGAGTTGACCATAAACCCGACCCAACCCGCCCGACTTGCACCCCTACTTCGATATTTGATGTGGTGTGTGGGCTCATTTTAACGTCATTTCATTCGATTAAGGTGGGCCTGCAACAATACAATAAGGACCTTGATCAACGGTTTTAGCCATGGTTTTTAAAACCGAACCGATCAGAGGTCCGATTACCGGTTCAGTCTAATAGAAAATTAAAAAAATAGTTAAAACCATTTGAATGGTTCGAACAGTTAACCACCCGGTTCGGTGGTTTATTGTCCAAAATCAACAATTTTAGGGGAAATTCGGTTTTTGGGAAAAACGAAACTGATAAAGTGATTGGTTCCCAGTTTTTTTGGTCTGACCGTGCGGTCCGGTTCAATTTTGAAAACCATGGTTTTAGCCCAACAACGGGAAAATCTGATATTTTTCAGGCTAAAACATGAGCAGCAGAAATATAAGCCCCATGTCTATATTTAATATTTAATTTATTAAATATAAGTTTAAAAAATTATTATTTTAATTGGTTTAAGTTTATTTCATTGCATCTGAATATGATCTGAGTGATTGGAATATGACTTGAAATTCCAAAATGCAATCGGATTTCAGATGGATTTAATATTTTATTAATGGAATCGTAAATTTGAAACCGAAGCCTAAATTCTTGCACGGTTTGAATTATTTTGGGGAGTGTGATTTTTGAGTTTGTATATATATATATGTCATTTTTTTATTTCATTGACTGATTGATTGATGTAAAAGAATTTTAGAGGGAGTCCGGAACGTTATTCTCGCAACAATTATCTGAGCTTGAATTGATGTAAGGACAAATTTTACGAGAATCAAATCGGGATTAATCCAAAAGGATGGAGAAATATCTCTTGTCATGTGACAATGTATCCGGATGAAGTAGGATCTATTATTTTCCAATAATTCAATATTTCAATTGCCGTTCACAAATATTTCCTGTAATTCCATCTCATTCAATCTGATGATGACTTACTTCTACGGCAGGTGGGCTTCTTCACCAGTAGAAGTGAGTCCAACCCAACCAACATATATGTCCAAAAAAGAAAATTGTAATGGGTCTCCACGTGTGATAATTACTAATTAGTGATGATGGAAGGGCACAAATTAAGTGCAGATGGAAGAGGGAACAGTTGAGTGAAGAAAAAAGTTGGTGTCTTATGTCTAAGCACAACGACACATCTTAATTATAATTAGTTAACAGTCCAAATCAGAACAGATGGGCTCTATGTGTGTGTACCTAATACAAACGAACTTACGTGGGCGTAGGCAGAACTAAGAAGAAGAAAGTAACAAGCAAAGCAAACATAGATATGATTCTATGGACTGAGGAACAAAACAGACAGCTCAGCCTCTAACTATATGGGACACAAAATAGAAGCATATTCTTTTCACTTGGATAACAGCGCGGAGAGATTGTTGGCTAAGGATGCGACGGTGGTAGGAGACACTCCACTGCTCCCACCCAGATACCATTTCTTGATCATCTCCACAACATTGCCGTTCTCCACTTTGATCTTCGCCTCCTCTTTTCCTTCTGTTGAAAACGATATCTGTCATGCATACACGAAGCTGTGCGTTAGTAGCATTTATATAACGAATGCCAAACATACTCTCTCTGGTAATTGAATTCGCATATGTGTCTCATCTATATCATGGTTTTAATAACTGATGTAGAACCTGTTCTGGCCATCAGTTTTTGGGTCGATGGTTCGAACGAGTGGTCAATTCTAACTTAAAAAAATAAAAATAATTAAAATCTAAAAAATGGTTAAAAAACATTGATCAGATCGATAATTCGACTGCCCGGATGATTAATTCAATGATTTTTAGTCAACCACTAGGTTTAGAGTAAAACGGAGATCAACTGCAATTCAAAAACATAGCTAGTGTTTTAAATAATTTTTAATTCATTACCAAACCAACTTCATGTGTAAAGACGAAAACGCCCTTATTAAAAGCATTAATGGTTGGAGAGTATTAGATGATTGATGAGATCCTCTAAGCTAAGCTGATGAGTCATTAGTATGGGCGTATGGAGATGGATAATTATTGAATAGTTACCTCAGCAGTACCAGTAGAAGGGGAAGCAGAAGGAAAAGTGTAAGTGATAACAGAGTGTTTCTTGAAATATTTGGATTGGAAGAATTGGATGATGTTTTCAAGAGCTTCCTCCTCTTCTTCCTCGTACTTGTCAACCGCTGCTAATCGATCCCTCACAGCACTCTCTATCTGCACCCCGTACTGTGATCCCTTGATCTCCTTGATTACCACTACTCTCACAATTTTCTCCACCGGAGCTGCAAATGCATCCCCATGATCCATCCTATGGGTTAATAATGGAAATAATATAATATAATATAACCAGAAATCCCCACTGCACTTACCTGAAATCAGGGCTTCAAAGAAGTCATCGTCCTGGGCGAGTTCATTTCCTGATTTGCCCTTCCATTGCTGTAAATGAGCCACAACCTCGGGTTCCAAATAAACCCCAATTGCAGTAAACTTGATTTGAAGGAAATGTATCTCAATGTCCGTAATGCCTGCCACCCACAACCACAAACCAAAACGCCCAACTTTTGTAATTAAAGTGTAAACCCATCAAGTTCAAACCAACCTGTTTGGGATACCTAACGCCCTCTATTCTCTAAACTGCACTCTAAAATGTTAAAAATGGTCGTAGCACTATTATCATTATTATTATTATTATAGAAATGCAAAGCAAAGGGTAAGGGGTGGGGGCGAGAGACCAGTTCCACCTAAACAGTTTTCAGATTTGTGTGGAAGTTAGGAAAAATTTATTTTCCTGAATATTATTTATCCCATTAAGTGATATTCATTAAGTGATATTCATTTTTCAGATTTGAACGCTTGGCCCATTTTAACAAAAAAATAAATAATAAATAATAAAAATAAAATAAAAACGGTCAAAACCGTTTGAACAATTAACCGCCCAGTTCGGCGGTTCGCTAACCAAAATCAACGGTTTTGGGGGGGAAATCCGGTTTTTGGGGAAAATAGAACCGGTCACCTGACCAATTCTCGGCTTTTCCAATCTGACTATCCGGTCCGATCTTGTTTTGAAACCCATGATTTAGACCATTTTGGACCAGTCCAATTCAATGTTTGGACCATCCAATTTGTTCAAATTCATTTTCTTTTAGATTGGTTTCAACTCAAATCCGGTCCATTGACACCTATATTCTTATCTTATATCAATGGGCCGGATATTGGCTTAATCCAACCAATTCCAATATAAATTTATTACAAACGGACCAGGTCCAATCCAATCTAATAAATATTTTGGACCAGATCGATCTAATCCACTATGTCTTTTTGTTCCATTCAACCCGTTCAAATTAATTTTGAACTGGACAGAATCCAATCCAAAACCGGTCCATTGACACCCTTACTTGTAGGCTTGTATAAGTTATATCAAGAGAGAGTTCTCTTATTGCAAGTTTCTAAAAAAGAATAGTTGTTTTCGAAAACAAATTGGATATACATAATTTTAAAAACTATTTCGGGATGATTTCATAAAACATATGTTTTTTAAACAAAAACTTCTTTTTTACTTGCAAACTGCACATCGGGAATATCAGTTATGTAAAATACAATTACAACCAATGTTCCTAATGTGCCACTAGGTCTGGGTGAACGTGGGCTACCAATATGTTGTGGATTTGTGATCAGCATATCCGACCTACCCACAAATTGTTTTCACGTCTCTACCCGTAAGAAAACTTTTTTCTCGTCTTTTTTTTTCTTTTTTTTTTTTGCTGTAAATCTATCCACAAGAATAGAGATGCAATTAGATCGGATCAGATTCGAATAAGGGTATATCTGAATCCAATCCGACACTGTTCATGATAGATTCGATTTGATCAGATTTAATAGATAAATATTTTTTTAATTATTTTCATCATATATACATGTTTTTATAAAAAATAAATAATATAACAAATTTATAAAAATACAATATAAATAATATATTTATAAATAAATAAATAACATATATATGTATTATATATATTTATATAAATAAATATAAACATATATCGGATTGGATCTTCTCAGATCAGATAGTGGCGATCTGAATCCAGTCCAATTTCCAATCGGATCCTATTATCTGATCCAATCTGAATATCTGAATAGGGGTGATATGAATTCGACCAAATAGGATCGGACCGGATCATGATCCGATCCATTTGCACCCCTACAAGAAACTATTGCCTTGTATTGTGGAGGAGATCTGGAGTGGCCATGTCATTTAAAAATACAAAAAAAAAAAAATTAAGGGTGTGGCCTTATCATGCATAGGACCATTTCTTTTTGCAAAAGAAAAAGAGTAAAGCTTTTTACCTGTTTGACATGAGTCAATCTATATCCATATATTAAAATGGAATGTTTGCTTTCTAGTTTCTTCTCAAAGGCATTTATCTATTTTATGGTTTATTTATTTATTTTTATTTTAAAATTTAATAAAATAATTCAAGTGGCCAATCACCTTTAAGACTTTTAACTCTTCTCATACTCCCTCCCTCCCTCTCTCTCTCTCTCCTTTCCATTACTCCATTAAATTATTAAAATTCATTAATTTTATCTATATCTAATGCTTATTTTTTTATACATTAGATATATTTACATTAAGTTGTAACTATTAATAAAGATTTGTTATATTGACACTGAGATATTCAATGATATATTATTAGGCTAAATAATCCACTTCAATTCAAAATATAGTTAATTAATAAAGTAATTTGCATTTTAGAATAAATATTATTTACTTCACCTAACAAATAAAAGGACTATTTGTAGAATAGTCTAGGTTGGACAAGTCAAATTGTGACACATCATTCATCTATATATATAGAATATAAACACTATCTGTTTTTAATTTTTTATAAATATAAGAGCCAAAAATTGAAATCTGAGGCCAACAGTTGAGGTTTTTCTTATATAGTGGGACTACAAAGATCACAATAAGTTATCCAAAATAAAAATAAAAAGATCATTTCCAATCAAATAATCGAGCACAAAGTTAAATCCTCCAAAAGCTATGTAGGATACTTTTTGAAAGTTGTTTGGCAAAATAAATTAGTGGAGGGTAAATTTGAAACTTTAAATTGTATATGATAATGCCTTAACAATGATAAGGGTATTTTGGCAAATTCAATGTCTTTGTTATTAAAAGGCTAAGGGAAATGAGGTATTTGTACTTTTTTTTAATCTATATGGGAGGTCTAGTTAGGATCAAAACACAAAGGCCTAATACGATGCTTTTTATAATTTTACCTAAACATAATACAAAAATAACAAATGCCCAATAAAAACTAATAAAATATTAATATTAAGAAATAAAAAATAATACAAATTTACCTAGAACATAGAAGACTGGACACTCTCCCTAGAGCGCAAATTAATTTTAGTGTGATAAAATAAATATAACCCAAAAAATAATACTTAAATTGGATTTAAACAATTCGCTTAATTGGAAATGTCATAGAGCTCGATCCTCAATTTTGCTTATAAAATAAAGACCATACGGATGCTGACTAATTATAAAGTTATTTTAAAATTTGGATCCACTAATTCTCTGATGTGTCTTAAAAATCAACTTCATGTTAAGCCTCCAATTGAATAGTATCCTTCGTTTCCCAAAATCTATTCTGAATCTTAAAAAAAAAAAAGAAAAAATCCATTCTGAATGCTGATGTTGTGATTTCTCCAAAAAAAAATGACGATGGTGTGAAGTTCCAAAAAAAGTGGGTTCAGATTATTTTCTGGTACTGATATGATCTTTCAATTGGATGTTTCTCTTGTGTTTCTACTTTCTACTTTCTACTTTCTGCAATAAATCCGTAGAAAGCCGATTTGGGTTTCACCTGGTCCGTCTGATTTTGATGGTTGTAAGAATTAATTAGTAGCAGGAGAAGCGACAAATTCTGGTGTAGAGTGGATTACTTACCGTGACCCAGCAGAGAGAGTGGCTTGGATGTCGAGATCTCGGGTAGAAATGGTATATCATCAACCATCACGGTTTCAGTGCCCACTGCATATATACAGGATGAATTCAAGCAAAGCCCGTGAGAAAAGAAGAATAACAAATACAAAATATACAGATTTCATCTCATTAGCTCAGCAAGTGATCAGAGTGTGAGAGTATAAGACTGTGACATTGGACAGGCGTGAGCGTGATTAGTGATTACTACTGCTGCACTAATTAATCAATCAAGATTGAAGATGGCGTCGATGACGGGACGGAGGCTGCCGTGTCCGACCACATTCCATCCCATCTTCAACGTGCCCACGCGAGAGAGATGGTTATTTCTTCTTTTCTTTCTTTGGAGTTTGGAGCTTTGGGCGAGAGAGAGAGAGACTTACTTGTTGCTGTTGAAGAAGATTGTTATTTCTTCTTGTCGGTTCTTTGTTTGGAGTTTTGGGCGAAAGAGGAGTAAAGGTAAATGGAAATAGAGATAGAATGGAAGGCCAGTTCTCTGGAGGGTTGCTGGGTTGAGGAAGATATTTAATGTGTTCCAACTAACACACTCTCCTGCCTGCCCTCTCCAGTGCCCTGGTGCTGGTGGTAGGTAGCTAGTGCAGGAAGTTGCGATTTATCTCATTTTCTTCTATTTTGACTGGTAATTTTTTATTCCCATATTACCCTTATTCGATCTTAAAATTTCAAAAAAGTTGTGGTCTTTTTGGAGCTTGAGGCTGGTAGTTAGGTCGAGCAACCACAACTTCAGCATATAATTATGGTTTTTCCTACCCTTTTTTCTTCAAACCAAATACAGCCTAAATATCCCAGCATATGTATATGTGCATATGATATGATTATTGTACAAATTTGTAAATATGCTTATCATATATACAGTGGTTTCGAATAATAAGATTCATATATTTTAAGAGGGTATATATTCTTTGGTGCAAATTATTTTTGTTGTTAGTTTCAAAAATAAATCAAAACCATATTTTTGAAAACAAATTGTTTCTTAAAAACAAGTTATTGGTAATTCTCTTGTGAAGGTAAGAAATTAATTTCCATATTCTACTCTTATTATTAAGATAAACAAATGGTTAAGGAAGATTAGTATTGCCAACGAGAATAAATGCTTTTACAATGGCAATTCTCTGGTGTTTTATATTCTCAACATTCTTATTTATCCAAAAAAGGAAGGAAAAAAAAAGATGAATCACCTAGAAAATGCCTCAAACCAATGTTTTAAAAAATGACCCAAAATCGGAACTGTTTTGGCCACTAGTTTTTAGAAAATGCCTCAAATCAATGGACAACCTATTCTAACAAAATAAATTAAAAATAAAAAAAATTGAAAAAATGACCAAAAATCATTGAACGGGTTGACAATTCGACCACCTGGATCAATAAGCCATTAATTGATTCAACGGTTTTTGACAAGAAACCTAGTTTGGGTAAAATGGAACTGGCTGCCTGGATGATTCACGGGTCAAACAGTCTGACCATCCAGGTCAACGACAGTTCAAAAACAATGCCTCAAACATTTTCTTATAAATAAAATGTTGATGGTCAATGTTGTGAGAGCCGTATAACCAGTGGAGGAGGTGGTGTAGTGAGAAAGTTTATATGAGGCTTCTTTTGCTTTGATTTCCACAATTATTTTGACAAGGGCACCTCTATTAGTGCTGAATTTAATGCTCTATATGATGACCTTCAGATTTGCTCATTTGCCCATCTCACAACATTTTGAAAGTAAAGATTGAGAGTGATAATCAATGTTTGGCCGATATATATCCTCCTTGATAAAATCCTCCACCCTTGACATCTAACATGTATCCTTTGTAAAATAAAGAAAATAAGTGTTGTTGTGCGTCTTTCTTTTTCTCATACATTAAGAGAGACAACAAATGTATTGACTTGTTTGCCAATAGTATCAATTTACAATTCCATCAATGAGGTTCCAAGGGAAGTAATGTTAATGCTTAAAGAAGATTATTTTGGTATTCCATCTCTTCATGTAGGTTAATGGCCTTAATAGTTCATGATTGATTTTTATTTTTCTATTTTTTGAGCCTTGTATTGGACTGGGATGAGAGGGTGAGGTTGTGTATTCTGTTGTTGGGTTTTGTGCTCCCTTGTTTTGATTTACCTCTTATTGGTTAATAAAATTTTTAGATGGCTACCCTCCACCTAGAGTAGACTTAGGGGTATTAAAAAAATATTATTGGTTGTAAATGCGTTTTTTTTTTTTTTTGGTTTCAAATTTTGAAACAAAATAAATGTATTCTTGAATCTCTGATTTGAAAAAAATGCTTTTATTTTTAAATCATACAATATATCTAATCATCTTTCCTGAATCATACAGTATTTGTATTCCAACATTTTTTTTTTGTTTTGTTTTGTTTTAAAAGCCATCATTCTATCCTAAATATCATATTTTATTTTAAATCATACATTATGTGAGTTATACTCGTATAGACATTTTTTTAAGAAAATGTCTTGAATTGTTATCTAAAAAATACATGAAATAGGTGAATAATTCAACAAAAACATGCAATACACAAATTGCCCATATTTTCAAAATTATGGAAGCAAATATGAGAATTTTTAATTTGTTATATTTTACATATACATATATTTAACACATTATATGCATAACTACATATAATTAAATACAATAATAAAATATGTGCTTTTTACTTCAAACTTTTTGAAGTGAATGTATAAATTAAGCAAAGATGTATATTCGGTCAATTTGTTATTGTATCAAAATTAAGCAATATCGAATAGCCAAAAGAATAGGCAGGTGAAAAAATTGTGCTACTAAAGGGTGACCAAAACATTTTGGTTATTTTGCATAGAAAGGAGGGTCATTTATGTTATTGTACAGTATTGTGCGTTTTGTGGCCAATCACCTAACCACGTGTTTCATCCTTGGTTCGTTCAGCTATTTACATTTACACCTACTGACCGACCTACACCTACACTATTATTGCTTGTTGGGGTTTCTATGGAGGCTTGGGAGTTTATACTGGTCTGCATGCCCTCTCTTCAGTTTCCTTTTCTCTAGCTATTTGAGAATTGAAACAGATGGCACTACACACGTACACAACGCGACGAGTTACTCGTTCCTCCAGTTATCCTCATGAAGGCAGGCGGGAATAATTCACGGGTCTGCAGTACCACACAACCTTTATCCACTTAGACTGTGTTTGGTTTGATTGTAAATAAAAAGTAAATTATAGAAAATTGATGAATCAAACCAAACGGTTGAGCGGGTGAACAGGGGAGGGCCACTTTTGTATTTAATATTTATGGCTAAACGATTAAAATATTGATATGCAGCACATGCATCTAGATATGAATGAATGTATTGATCCTTAAGTGTTTATAAATTATATTGATATGCATCGATACTGAGGATCATCTCATGTGTATTGATATTTTCGTTCTTGTATGGTCAAACAGTTGCCCAATGGTATACAGGTAAGGGTGTCAGGACCCCATTCAGTCTAAATCAATTTTGGATGGATTGGATGGACCAACAATATATATTGGATTAATATCTTTTAGATTGGATTAAGCCAATAGCTGGTCCCTTGACATAAGATAAGAATATAGGTGCCAATGAATCAGGTTTGGACCTGGTCCAACATAGTCCAAAATGTTCATTGGACTGGATTGGACCTAATCCATGTATAATAGACTCATATTGGACTGGATCTGATTGGACCAAATTCAGTCCAATTGACACCCTTACATCCAGCTCCCCTGCGATCTTCCAATGTAGAGTGATAGAACTATATGGAGTGCAGAAATTCAACTTAGCTAATGAGTGGCTGAATCTTGAGTGGTTGTGGGTCTTATGTATTTTATGACTGATGTGGAGTGTTATACTTGGTTCCACGGCCTACTGAAACAGTTAGTGCAACCAGCAAATCCTATATTGAAATAAAGATCTACTTCTTCTTCTTCTTTTTGCAGTTGACATTCAATCCGCCACAAATGTCCCATTATAGTGAACATGATTTATTAAGACACCTGTTCTAGACTTGTAATGGGAAGTGCAGCAACTCATTGGATGCTTGATCATTCCAGATAATCCACTCTTGTGAATGATGATTATTTATAGCAATTGTGTTCTGGGCGATCATAGCAGGGCCACGATTTAATTTAGTCCATAATTTTGAAAACTAATACATTTTCTAAATACCTAAGTAGTTGTGTTGGGGTGATCATAGCAGCTAGGCCAAGAAGCTCGCACTTAGGGTGAGGGCCTTCACCTTGGTTCAGCTGCAACGGCTCCTGCACCCAAGCCTTGGTGAAGACAGATCAGTAAGATTCTCCTGGGTTCCTCGTGAATTCAATAGATCAGCCCACAAGCTGGCCGCGTCTTTCTTTTCTTGTTGAGTTCTTTTCCCGTTTCTGTTCTTGTTTGCCTGCTTCTCTGTTTTTTATTAATGAAATCTGTTTACCAATAATAATAATACACATAGACAACACCCTGCACCTAAAAGGTAGAAATTAAAAAATATATATATATATATATGTTATAAATGATTTTTATTGCAAGAAAGAATTATAATATGTTATAATTATAAAAATTATCAGGTTAATTTTAAAGTATGACCCTGGGTTTTGAAAGCATTTGGGACAATTTAATCATTTTAAAGTATTAACAATAGTTAAAGTTTAATTTAGACATTCTAAAGCATTCAGAAGGGGGGTGGGTTAATAGTCATTTAACAAATGAATTTGAAGTTATTACTTGCATTTAAAAGCAATTTTATAATTTTAAAATAGGGTAAAAGACTTAAACATACCCTGGATTTTTATAAATTGACTTAAATGTGTCCTGAGTTTTTCAAGTAGACTTAAATATGTTTTATGGGCTGACTCCATTGACTTAAATATATCATTCATCAATAAAATAATCAATTTTAAAATTTTAAAATCCTATTTTACCCTGAAGAAGAAGAAAATTAGGTCATTTCTACTTTTCTAGAGTAAAATAGAAATAAGGTACAGAAAAAAAAAAAACTTGCAAAAATAAAGAAAACATAGTAAAAAGTGCTTAGTAAAGCTGAAAAATGGATTGAAACCAGAAATCTATTAGGTCAACGTTTGTTTTACCTCAATCCAGCACATGAAACATAAAATCTATATATAACAGAAATCATAGATTCGTGAAAGATTATAAAACTTGCAATGCTTTCAAAGTTCTTATACCTTAAAAAAAGCTTGGCGGAAAACCAAGAGCACACACACCAAGCTTTAATTAGTTTTTTTTTTTTTTCTTTGAATTTCAGTATTGAGGAAGCTATACACCTAGATGTTACCTAGTTTCATAGCCAAGCTTTAATTAATTTGGCATAAAACCAAGATCATAGATAAAAAAATTGGTGAAGTTATTACGATCATAGAATATATCAGAAATTGCGGAAGTTATACTGTGCAGAGAATTCAGGGTATATTTTGAAAATTTAAAAGAAAAACGAAAGATAAAAGAATTACAAAATTTCTTTAAATCTTTTTTAAAAAAACTCAGAACACATTTAAGTCAATTAAAAAAACTCAAGATATATATC